AGAGCACAATGATGGTGCCAACTTGGGCCAGTGAAGCAACGTCCTCCACAACTAGACTGAAGAACAAAACGATAGCAACTTGTCTGTTCCCCTTCCTCCAATTCCCCAACACTGTTCCCATCCCCCCAATTCCCCAATTAAAAAAAAAATCTTAAAAAAAATAAAAGTAAAAAAATAAAAGAATTCTCGGGCCGGCTGAGTGGCGCATTGGTTAAGACCTAGCTTGGGACGCCAGAAGGCCCTGGTTTGGATCCCACATATAAGGGCCAATGACACTGCCCTCTACAGCTAAGATGCTGAACAACAGCTCAACCTAGAGCTGGGCTGCCATGAGTCGCCGGAATTGGCTTAGGCTGCAGCCCCTGCTGCAGTGGGTTGCCATGGGCTACCGTGTGTAGACAGCAGCCAGTGTGAGCGGCCAGCAGCTGCATTGAGTGGCTGTCCAGAAGCCGGCGACGGATCTGCCTCGCCTGGGAAGAGCGCAATGATGGTGCTAATTTGGGCCAGTGAAGCAACATCCTCCACAACTAGACTGAAGAACAAAAGGACAGCAACGTGTCTGTTCCTCTTCCCCCAATTCCCCAGCGCTGTTCCCATCCCCCAATTCCCCAATAAAAATCTTTTAAATAAATAAAGAAAAGAACTCTCATACACTGTTCATGGGAACATAAAACAATACTATGACTTTCAAAAAATTGCTTGAGTTTCTTATAAAATTAAGCATACACCTAGAATATGATCCTGCTGCCATTCTACTCATAGGTGTGTACCCAAGAGAAATGAAAGTGTATGTTCACACAAAGACTGTGACTAATGGTCAAGGCAGCTTTTCACAATAGTCAAAAACTGAAAACAATTCAAATATCCATCAAAGGTGATGAATAAACAAATTGTGTACATCCACACTATGCAATACTACTCAGCAACAAAAAGAATGGAATATTGATATGTGCCTGGAAACATAACATAAATAAACCTCAAAATCATTATACTGAGTAAAAGCCAGACACAAAAAAATACACATTATATCATACCATTTATATAAAATACAAACTAGGGCCAGCCGAGTGGCTCAGTTGGTTAAGAGCTCGCTCAAGAGTGCAAGCTCTGAGCAACAGGGTCACCGGTTCAATTCATGGCCCCAGCTGAGCTGCCAACAGATGACAGGATGGCTCAGTTAAAAAAAACAAAAAAAAACAACTAATTTATAGTGACAAAAAAACAGATCAATCAATGATTGCCTGAGGATAAGAGCAGGAGGGACAGACTACAGAGAAGCATGAGGAAATTGGGAGGGTGGGGGTACAATGAAGGAAATGTTTTGTATCTTGATCACGGTGGTGGTTGCACAGGGATATGTAACTATCAAAGGTGACTCGGCATCATGACAACATAAGTCATTCCTCTTTTCTCTCCCCTTTTTTAATCAACTTATTAGACATCCATAACCATACAAAAGTGCCTCTGCACATTACATCAAAGTTTCCAGCCCACCTATGCACCCAAAAATAAACAAAATAATTATCAAACCTCATCAAATTGTACCCTTTAAATGAATGTGGCTTGTTTTACATACATTATACTTCAACAGTTTTTAAAAAGTGTATAGTTTGTCTTTAAAAATATACATGTTTAAAATCATTTTTTTCCAAAATTCAGTATACAGGATTACAAGTCACCAAATTAGCTTTAAACTTCATAACAACATTGCAGCTAATGCTGATAATATCATCAGTGGGCATGAAAGTTGGCAGGGGACTTCATGAAACATTTCAATGGGCACCTAAATCTTAAGCTGAGTTGGAAATGTGAATAAATTTGGGAGGTAAGAAGATCAGGGAGCATGGACACTATGAGCTTGAGTATGAAAGCATGAGGTATATTTCCTACAAGTTTGGATAACTACAAATAATTTTATCTAAAATTTAGAGGCAGGTGAGGTAAGAGGAAAAGTAATGAGGCAAGATGAAGCTGAAAAGAAAGGCAAAGGCCAGATCACAAGACACCTTACGTACCAGATGAAGAGTATGAACTTCAACCTCCTAAGTAAGAGGGCAGGGGGAGGTTGTTGATATTAAAGGTTATTAAAGAGAAATCAAAAAGAAATTTATTCGAAAAAGGCCATTCAGGCAAAATTATAAGAATAGGTTTGAGGGCAAAATAAGGCAAAGACCAATTAGTAAACCCACTGGAATAATAATCCAGGCCAGAGAGGACCAGAGCCAGAGTCAAAGCACCAATATAGAAGGATGGATTGATATGGTAAAGTGCTAGATCCCCAGTCTCTAGTGATTGAATACAAAGAGAAAATAAGACCTAATCCCAGCTTTCAAACACTATTCACAGAGATGGAGTACAAGAAAAGAACATTTAGAAGAAAGACAATGCCATCTCATTTAGGTCTCTTATAGTAAAAGAGCTATGCAAGTACTATACAGAAGAGGTTACTATTAGGGCATATACATCAGCAAAATCCGTGTTGTGCCTTGAACTCTGATTATGATCCTTCAAACGATGACAAAAGATTTCTAAAAGATTTTTCTCCTATGTCTATATTTTATATGTGTACTTATCTTCCAGATATTTTCCTATTACATTAACTAAAATAAGTCTTCATTTTATTATTTGTTTGTTTTAAAATCCAAGACTTTAAAATTCTTAAAGATTAATAAAAATAACTTTCAAATATGACTTTTTAAAAGCAAAGTCAAAAAGTGATAAACAGTCTCCCTTTAAAAAAAAATGTCAGCACTTCCAAAATGAATGAGAAGCTTACATGTAGAGCTAATTCGGAAAGGGGACAACACCTAAAGACATGGATAAATACCTTATTTTAATAAAAAAAATGAAATATTTACTGCACCTTAATAATGAAGTTTTCAATATGCCATTTAAAATAAATTATCCTTGAAACCAAGGTGTTTTTTGTTTTTTGTTTGTTTTTTTAAAGATTTTTATTGGGGAATCGGGGGAAGGGGAACAGACAAGTTGCTGTCCTTTTGTTCTTCAGTCTAGTAGTGAACACTGCCTCACAGGCCCAAGTTGACACCATCATTGCGCTCTTCCCAGGAAAGGCAGATCAGTCGCCAGCTTCTGGACGGCCGCTCACAGCGGCTGCTGGCTACACATGGTAGCCCATGGCAACCCACTGCAGCAGGGGCTGCAGCCTACGCCGTCACAGGTGACTCATGGCAGCCCAGCTCCAAGTTGAGCTGTTGTTCAGCATCTTAGCTGCAGAGGGCAGTGTCACTGGCCCTCATATGTGGGATCCGAACCGGGGCCCTCAGGCATCCCAAGCCAGCTCTCAACCAACTGAGCCACTCGGGCCGGTCTGAAACCAAGGTTTTTTAACCATTCAATATACTCTCTGAAATGGTATCTTGTTAACATAATATTTCACTTAAAATTCCAGACATTTACAAACAGCAAAATAAAAATCAGCAAAACAATTTGCATCTAAAAACCTGACATTCTGATTTACTGGATTCACATTTTCCTAAATATAATATAAACAAATCTTTTTGAGTACTCAACATTTAGAAGTACAACTATCTATCTATAATCGTTAACTTTCAACAATATGACACACCCGGTAAACATCAGTACAATACTTCAGAAATCATCTTATGTATGGAAAACAAATTTTGCAATAATAGGTCACCAAATTCCTTTTTCTAACAGTTGCTATAAAAAAATTTTATTAAAAAAAACCTAAATACAAACATGATTAAACATTTTAAATGAAATTGAAATTAGTCATGAAACTTCCTTATCCCTTTTTATGAAAAAAGTTTCAAAAATAAAAGGACAAATTTAATTCTAAATATCTCATTGTTTTCTAATACTATTTTAGTAAATTATTTATTCAATCGCTTCTTCAGGTTCTCAAGGTGTTCCACATTAACATCTTGTAATGCCAGTACCATTGCTTTAGACAAGGAGGGATTAAACGAAATAGTCATTAGGCAGCACAAATCTATTAGCTCTCTCTGACATTTCTGCAAACCTTCCAGGAACTTTTGATACTGAAGAGGATCCTTTTTTAACCTTTTCATTTCTGGTACTGAAAATCCTATCAGACTAGTAAGTATTTCATCTACAAAGTCTACATCTAGATATGCAGTACCATCAGAAATCTTGGCTGTTACACTCCAAATGCCACCAGAACTTGAGAGATTTCCAGTTAAGGTTACAATAAATGCTTTGACTTTCACTGTTGTAACTTCCTTTGGTTTGCTGGCCATTAGAACAGACAAATAGATAAAGGGTGGAGAATACAAATCCATGGCAATAGAAAGATTAGTGCTGTTCTCTGATGATCTTAAAGAACAATTCTGTAAATGGTGATCATTTTCATTAGAAATTTGTGAATTCCTTTTCGATACATAACTGACTATTTTTCCATTTAATATTTTATTATTTAAGGAATGTCCATCTGAACTGCTGATGGTTTGTTTTACTTTATTATCTGTCTCTGAGTTCTTACCTTTATTTGTAAAATCATGGGGTAGGGGTACATTACGATTAACTAAAAAAACACTATTGTTGTGGTCTATAGAGGACAAACAACTAAAAGATTTGTCTTCATTAGTCATTTGTTCAGATAAATTTTTTTCATTCCAATTGTTTCTATTTTTGGAAATCAAAGAAAAATTATTTGGAGTATTAGATTTATCTGAAGATTTCGCCATACTTTCATCTGTGATTCTGTTCAAAGTCAATGGCTGCAATTGTTCAGTCTCCATTTGTTCTTTCTGGACAGCTTCTTCCAAAAGCAAGGCCTCAGCCAATGAAAAGTCATCTAATTCCCCATCAGTGAAATGCACAGATGGATTTGGTGATTTATCATTGAGGTTTGGAGAAATAACAAGTCCTGGTTCCAAACCTGACTGTCTTCTGGGAATAGTATTTGAGGAACTACCTGTGCTGAAACATCTTCTTTCCAAGGAGGTGTCATTATTTGCTGCAAGCTCATCATTTTCAAGACTTGCCAAAAGTTCTTCATCAGAAGGCTCTAACACAAGATCTAGATTATCTGTAATTCTGGGGATGGTTTGGTTAGAATTATTTGGTATGACTGAAACTATTGGATCAGTTTCCCCAATTAATCTTCCAAGTACTTTTTCTTGTGCATAGTCTTCTAAAAGAGCATCTACTTCTCCTCCCAACACCTTCACATTTTCTGGTTTCAATAAGAGAACACCAAGACGGAAAGAAATGTTTCCATAAATCAAAATTTTTGTACCTGGAGGAAGATGACTATGAAGAGCTGGAATAGGCTGATACTCCATTCCCTGCATTTGTACAATTCCATCAGTTAACTGTAACATCAACATTCGTGAAGGCTTTGCTTCCCAAGGTTTGGGAGTTACTTGTGTTTCAGCTGTAATTAGGTCATTTGTATTATTCTTTCCTCTCAACTTTTGTATCTGGGAATATGCAGGCTGACTTACATCAACCAATGAATTAATCTGCAGAGCAAAAAATCCATTTAGTTCTCCTTTTGGAACTTCTAAGATGCTATCAGGTAAAACAGGATGCTCCAAATCTCTCAAATCGGTAAGGAGCCATTGCTCAAATACTTGTTTATTCATTTGCGCCTGACTCAAACTAACGTTTTCATTTTCTTCTTGAATCCAGTTAACACAAGCTTCCAACCACATTACAGGTACTTTAACATGCCATGTAGCTAAAAGCCAGGTTTCGACTCTTAGTGCAATATTAGTTACACTCATTTTTTAAAAGTAAAAGATATATTATACATTTGTTACCTAAAAAAAAATAAAAAAATAAAAATAATTTAGTACACTGATAGTCTCTATAATTCTGTACATTACTGCACAAACAGGCATAACCATACTGTTTTGATTTTTCTCACTTCAGCACCTTAAAATTCTTTGACTTTCTACATAGCCAAAATTCAAATACCGTAAGTAATCAGATGATATGAGAAAAGCAAAAGGTTTAAAAGCTAGCTCTGCCAAATTACAAGCTCTGTGACCTAATATAAATTTCTTAACTTCTCTAACCCAGTTTTTTCATCTTTAAAATGTCAATACCACCATCTATCTTTCAGGGTTATTGTGAGGAGTACATGATTAACATTCATAAATCATAATGTCAGACCTATGATAGACACACAATAAACAGTGATTATTATATTAATAATCAGGTTCTAATTTAAAATTTAGTTAAAAATTGTATTCACTATGGTTACTTTCATATCCATAATCCATACTCTATTAAAACATACCATTGTGTTTAATAACCATACAGCACTTAAATATGCAGTCTAAGGATAAAATCATAATGAATAACAATAAATTCTGAGCTGATGTAAAGCATCTTATTTGTTTGGCTAAATAATTCTCAACAGTCCTGCCAGGCAAATATTCTTCTGATTTTCTCAGTATGATAAAACAGTAAAGACTAATTAACCCTGTGTTCACAAAAGTATACATTTTTTCTACTGATGAAGATATCTAAGAATTAGAATTTATATAAGTTTTAATACTTCCATAAGAAAACTTACCATTTGGAACAGGAGCATAGGATTTGATGACAGGACTTGGAACTGGTTGTTCAATGAGTACTTGTAGCCTCTATTGCTCAGAAACAGCCCTGGAAACTAAGACAAGAAGCAGTAAGGGTTATAAGAAGAAGTTGCAAAAAGTATCACTGGCATATTTGCATGAGTGCAAGACTGCAAGAGTTTGAATGGTTTTTCAGGTTCCTGTTATCAACCAAGGTAGAGTATAAGAAATACAGAATAAAAACATGAGGTTTGGAGTGAGATAATGACCATCAGACTTACATATTCTAAGCTTGTTTCCTTGTCCATATAGTACGTACTTCCTAGGATTACTGTGAAAATTAAAGGAGATTGGAAAGGGCGGCCAGCAGGGCAAAGCCCAGGCACAGATCTTGAGCAGCTGGGTCAGCTGACCCAAGGGGCAATCCAGCCCATTTAGACTGTTCACCTAGACCTCAAAATCACCAACTCCATGGCCAGTCAGTCGCAAGGCGCCCAGCAGCTATTGTAGGACAACAAGCGGGCCACCCAATTGTCCAAGGCCCATAATTGACCAGAGGCTGAAGCAGGCCCAAGTAGCTCAGGCTGAAATTGAACAGTACTGCCTGCAGAGGGAGAAAGAGTTCAAGGCCAAGGAAGCTGGGGCTCTGGTATCCCATGGCAGTGGCAGCACTAAGATGGAGGAGGAGACCCAGAAGATCACAATCCTCCAGACCTACTTCTGACAGAACAGGGATGATGAAGTCCTGGATAACCTCTTTGACTTACCTGCAACATTGGCCAGAAATCCATGAAAACTACTGCATAAATAAATAAGAGAAGAAAGAAGCACCTGTTCCACGGATTGGCATTATAGATGCCTTCATGGAATATGACACCTTAGCAAAGCTTGCACTATTTCTTGTGAAGAGGCATTAAATTATTTCTGTATATTATAGAGTAGGCTCCTTCACTTTTGAAGAATAGCAAATCTTGCTTCTTTGTACGAATTTAAAGCTTATCCAAAGATTTCATTTTTACCTCGTATTTCTTAGAAAATTAATTGGTATATACATGGTCTGGTTTCCTATGTCTTTTAGCTCAAGCAACATATATATTCAATAGTGACTTTTTCTTTATTAGATATACGTTTGGAAGTAAAGGACACTCTAGAAACAAGATTTATTAGAAGATTCTTTAAGACATTAAGACTGTGGCATCTCCATCCCAAGTCAGAGAAACTGCTCCTTCTACCTTCTGGAGAGGGTAAAACAGAGGCTGTTTAGACGAGGACATCAGAGTACTGCTGAAGATATTACACTAAATATAGGGAAAACAAATAAATTCTTAAATACTAAAGGCTGAACATATGCTACTCTCTTTCTCTACAAAGCTCCCAGAAATACTAGTGACTAGGCCTATATTCTCCTAGAAGGAAGCTAGAAAATTTTTCTCTGGGCAATCTTACAACCCTAACGGAAAAGACCTAGAGATACAAACATGAGAGGTTCTCCAATTAAACAGCCTATTCTGACACTGCATCAACGGACTCAGAGTTCCAACCAGCATTCTTTCTAGTTTCCCACACTTCATTATAACAAGATATCGAAAAACCTCTACAAACAGAAAAAATGCAGTGAAGTGACTATGAAGGGAGACAGAAACTTCAAAAAAGCTATCAATATACTCAGAGAAATAAGCCATCAGATCCAATGAAATAAGAATAGGATACTATAAAAAGTAATATTCATAGGACAAAAAACAACTGTTAGAAATTTAAAATATGATAGCAGAAATGAAAAACAGTAGAATAAATAAAAAATAAAGTTAATAAAATTCTTAGAAAAGTAAAACATCAATGCAAAGATATCGGAATATAAGGGTTTGGGGGAGGCAATAATCAAAGTAACAAATTTAGAAAAATTTCCAGAACTTAAAGACAAGAGCTTCCAGATGAAAAGGACCCAACAATAATGGATAAAAACAGACAAATAATAAGGCATATCTTTACGAAATTTTACAATACAAGAAAAAAGATTCTGCAAGCTTCCAGAAAGGGAAACAAACAAGTAGGTTACATTCAGAATATCAGGAATGAAAATGGCTTTAGATTTCTCAGTGGAAGCTGTAAGGGGAAATGAGCGATTCCTTCAAATTTCTGAATAAAAATTATTTCCAACCTATAAGTATCTACCCAAAGTATCAATCAAGTATGACAATGAAATAAAAACACTTTCAGATCAGCATTGTCTAAAACAATTTTTGTAATGGAGGATGTGTTATAACATAACAGAGGAATAAAACAAGAGAGAAGAAGACACGATATACTTGATCTCAAGCAAGAGAGGCAAAATGTCAAAGTAAAGGGTATTTGCAGGATGTAAAGGCAAACAGCCCAGAAGGCCTCAGGAGAGATTATTTTTCAAGAAGATGAAACTGTATAAGACCACTTGTTCCAAGATTTCATGTTTTGTCTTTCTTGGTTTACAACTGTTAATTGGAGCATTGATGTAGCTCAATGTACGACAGAGTTTTAAATAACTGGAGGAGTTAGGAGCTGAAAAATATGCAGAAAACTAAGAGAAAAAAAGACAACTCAAGGGAAAACAAAATGTTGAACAGGAAAACAAAATGTTGAACAGGAAAAAGCAATATGTGTATACTACATGGCTTAGTTGTAAATAACATGTACATAGTCATAATAATATACAATCTAAATACTAATCTGACAACAATTTTAACATAGCTAATAGCAAGATGGACAAATATGTATGAGGGCAAAGGTAGGGGGGTGAGAAAGGTAGGTGGAAAAGAACTAAATCTGCATCTCCATAGTGAAAGTCAATAGATAATGCCTAGAACCAAAAAATCAGAAGTAGCAATATCTGCATGGTTTCCAGACCTATACATAGAAGTAAATACAAAAAAGAATCAGCTAGAAAAGTTGGAAGTGGTTGCCTCTGGGGGAAGAGAACAAAGGAGAAGAAAGGCAGAGGACTGTTATTTTTCAAAATAATTCTTTAAAGTTTTATAGATTAAATGATACATATAAGACTTTTATTTTCTTCGATCTTCTATGTTCCACTGATTTGTGTTGATGTTTAATTTGGGGGGAGATTTTCTTAACTTTAACTTTCATGTGTTCTACTGAGTTTTTCATTTCTGCTACTAGCAATGAACAAAATAGTACAAGGAGTATTTCTTTTTCAAAATTAAAGGCATAAAATACATGGTTTTTTTTTTCCCCCAAGATCAGAAATAAGTAAAAAATGTCCACTCTCAACACTTCAACATTGTACTGGAGGCAAATGTCAGAGCAATATGACAAGAAAAAGAAATAAAAGGTATACAGATTAAAACAGAAAAAAAAAATTAGCATCAAGACAAATATATAGACCAGGGAGTCCAGAAATAAACCTTCACACATATGATCAAATGATCTTCAACAAGAGTGCCAAGATCACACAATGGGCAAATGATAGTCTCTTCAACAAATGGTGATGGGAAAATTGAATATCCACATGCAAGAATGGATCCTTACCTTACACCACATTCAAATTTTAACTGAAAATGTTTTAAAGACCTACATGTAAGACATGAAACTATAAAACTTCCAGAAGAAAACTTTCAGGATACTGCAATGGGCAATGATTTCTTGGATATGACATCAAAAACACAGGTCACAAAAGCAAAAATAGACACATAGGACTGTATATAATATTTAAAAAGGAAACATCAGAATGAAAAAGCTACCTACAGTATGGGAGGAAACATGTGTAAACCATATATCTGATAAGGAATAAATATCCAGAACATATAAAGAACTCAATTCAATAACAAACAAATAACTCAATTTAAAAATGGGCAAAGGACTTGAACAGACATTTCTCTAACAAAGATGTACAAATAGCAAACAAATGAAAAGACACTTACCTTCACTAATCATAAGAGAAATGCAAATCAAAACCACAATGAGCTATCACCTCACACCCCTTAGGATGGCCATTAAGGAAAAAAAAAAAAAGTGAGGATGTGGAGATATTAGAACCCTGGTGCACTGTCGGTGGGAAGGTAAATGGTGCAGCCACTATGGAAAACAGTATGGAAGGCCCTCAAAAAATGAAAACTAGAACTACTCTATGACCCAGCAGTCCCACTTCTGGATATATATCCAGTAGAATTGAGAACGGAATCTCAAAAAGATGTTTGCACACCCATGTTCACCACAGCATTATTCACAATAGACAAAATGCAGAAGCAACCTAAATGTTCATCAGCAGATGAATGGATAAAGAAAATGTGGTATATAGATAAGGAATATTATTCAGCTTTAAAAGAAAGAAATCCTGTTACATGCTACAACATGGATGAAACTTAAGGACATTATGCTAAGTGAAATAAGCAATTCACAAAAAGACAAATACTGAATGAGTCCACTTGTATGAAGTACTTAAAGTAATCCAACTCATAGAAATATAAAAGAGAATTGTGGTTGCCAGAGGCTGAGGGGAAGGAGAAATGGGGAGTTGTCCTGTGGACATGAAATTTCATTAATGCAAGAAAAATAAGTTCAGAGATCTGTTGTACAACAAGGTGCAGATAGGTAACAATACCATAATGTACACTTAAAAATTGCTGAGAGGGAAAATTTATGTTATGTGTTTTCTACTACAACAAAAAAAAAGGGGGTGGGGGATCAAGAGTGAAGAAGGGGGAAATGAAAAAATAAAATGACCCCTATTTGTAGATAACATGTATGTTTATGAGGATAATGCCAAAGAGTCTACAAAAAAGATACATCACTTGATAAATGAGTTAGTAAGATGCAACTGTCTTTTACATGCTTTTTCTTTTTTCATGCTCCATTTAGTGCCAAATTTTTCAGACTTTTGTGCTTTTTATTGATGATTTCACTGTTTGAAATAGCCCTCTAGAACAGTGCTAAAGTGCTACCTAGCACTCCTAAGGGCAATAAAGCTGTGATGTCATATGGAAAAAAATGTGTTAGATTAAGCTTCATTCATGCATGAGTTACAGTACCATTGGTCACAAATTCAATGATAGTGAATCAACGTGTATTGAATAAAGAAAGTGTCTTTAAACAGAAAAGCACCCCCCAAAAAAAGTTATGTATTGATCAGCTGATGAAAATGTCATAATCAGAGGCTCACAGGAACCTAACCCTATATTTCCCCTAGGAGCAGTGGTTCATTATTCTCTAATTCACTATTCACAGTGACTTTATAACTACCACAAATAATGAGACTCAACTGTGCTAGTAATGAACAAAACAGTACAACTTACAATAGCACTGAAAGCTTAAATCTAACAAAATATGTGCAAGATATGTATACTAAAAAAACTACAAACTACTTATGAAAGAAATTAGACAACCCAAACAAACAAAGAGATAAGCCAGTGTTGAAAACTCCATATTAAGGTTTCAGTTTTCCCCAAACTGGTCTATAGATTCAATGCAATTCCATTCAAAATCCCAGAATCTTTTTGTGTGAAAAATGACAAGCTGTTTCTAAAATTTATATGAAAACGCAGAGAAACTAGAATAGCCAAGATAATTTTGAAAAAAAACAAAGAGGACTCACACTATCTGAGTTCAAGACTTAGTATAAAACTACAGTAATTAAGACAGTGAGATATTGGTAAAAGGATTAACATATACCGGTAGGTCAATAAGAAGACAGTCTAGAAACAGACCCATATATATATATATATATATATATATATATATATATATATATATATATATATATATATATATATATATATATATATATATATAGTCAATTGACTTTCTACAAAGTTGCAAAGACAATTCAATGG